ATGCAGCTGCATCTTGCCCCATGGCTATGGCACTCCTGATGTCAGCATCCTGGGGTGAAGGCATCATTATTTATGTGTATTTCTTAGTGCTTAGGAACCCCAGTCATGCCCCCACCCGTGCTAAGTGTTCTAGAAATACAGAATAAAAACAGTCCCTGTCTCAAAGAGTTTATAACCTAAGTGAGAAACAAGAGACAACAAATGGCTGCAGACAAGGGAGTACAAGTAAACCATGAGACAGTACTGTTCAGCATGATAAATTATGGTCTTATTGGGATTGTCTTCCCACTTTCAGTACTCTCTTCAATTCCGGGCACCACACTTTAGCAAAAAAAGTGAACAAAGTGGAGAGTCCACAGGAAAGCAACAAGGTTTAGATAATATAATCTGATCTTTGAGGAAAAGTAAAAACACTAGGCATACTTAGTCTCAAGAAAATATATGACCAAGGGTGGACCTGTCACCTTACAACAGACTTCACATATGTTAAGGGCTAATATAAAGAAGAATAATCAATTGTTCTCCATATCCATGGACAGCAGAACAAGTAGTACAAAGCCTGATCTACAGTAAGGGAGATTTAGTTTATATATTACTAAAAATGTTTTAATTGTAAAGGGAGTTAAGCTCTTCCAAGGGAGGGAGTGGAATCCCCATCATAGGAGGTTTTTAAGAATACGCTAGACAAACAGCTGTCATAGGTGGTCTAGATTTACTTGGTCCTGCCTCAATACAGGGGGCTAGACTCTTGAAGTCCTTTCCAGTGCTACATTCTGTCCAGTTTATACCAGGCTGAGGATGTGATCCCCTACATTCTTGCCAGGTCTAAACTGTCCAGTTTATACCAGGCTGAGGATGTGATCCTATTATAATTTTAGTGAAGCCTGAAATAAGCCCCCCTTCAACACACACAAACATATATTTCAATTATTGGAACTGGCAGAGTTACTTAGAAAACTGATAGTTCCTACAAGATTTGCAATATGATTATGTTCACAAACAATATAAATGAATGACTCCTAAAAACATTTTCAGCTTCATTAAATTTATAAGCTCTACCAGCTGAATTTTGGTATGCACAATACTAAGCAAAACCTCCCTATATTTTTGTTATGACTCACAGAGAGCTACAAGACACTGAGCAATTTTAAAAAATTGGTCTTTTAGGCACAGAAACTAGTAAATGTTAATGAAATACTTTGAGGATGGAAAACACCATACTTGTTAAGTACTGCATCTTTTACCTTAGCTCTGTTACTTTTAGAATTTAATTCAATATTCTCAGACTGACAGTATTGCTTTTTTTTAAAAACCTAGAGTCGTGTGCAAAAACAAAGTTAAAAACATTTGCAGCCATAATCCTGGAACATCAATATTAGACTTGAACAAAACCAGACTATGAAATCTCTCTTATACATAATTTCTGAGATTACGCAGCACTGTTTGTATATAGATTCCATAACATCTTTTTAAGGACTGAGCAATTTAACAGGAAATGTAATGATCCCTCACCATGTAACATTTTCCAAAACAAATGTGGCTTATGTGAAATCTGGCACATAGTTTTTAAAAGATCACAAATATGTCCTGTCCAACAAGATCCAATAATTTAGTAAGAAAAAAGTCACTGGAAGATTAGTAATGAGACTTCCTGTACGTTACTGGTCAAGCTATTATGAACGGATACAGGAAACATGATTTATCATTTCAACACCAGATGCTATAATCTTACGCAAGTCTCTTTGTTGATATAGGTCTTTACTACCACAAAAGCAACTACTTTTTTGCATAATCAATATTGAGAATTAACTTATAAATGTTAAGGACATCTTAGAAATGTCTAATCTAAATTGCACATGCTTCAAAGTTGCATGCTGGCTGCTTTATCTTTATTGTTAAGTTCAGAACAGTACTCTCCCTCACATCTGCCTCAATCACACAATATTAAATATAATATAAGATGTAGTCAAATGATTTGCTGAAATTTAATACTGTAGCTACCCAACAGAAGGAAAAACTCTCAGCTTCTCTCATATTCATGGTTCAAGCGCCATTCTTCACAAGCATTACAAGTGATTTCTTCTTGCTCCATCTCAAAATATCCAAACTATTTAGGCTCTTCAGAATAAAGGTTGTAAGAGCTAAACCTAATCTGCTTTAATATCTGTACCCTGATTCCATGAGAACACATACTATTTCAGATTTTCTGAACATTTCACAATTGCATCCAGCTGGGTTTGGCAGAAACTGGGAAGTTTCTCAGCTACAGTACATAGAAAGATCATTTTGATTAGTAACATGGAAAGATTTTTAAAGTTTTAGTATTACAAATTGTTGATACACAGACATACTTTCATTTTACAGACTAGAAAGTACCATGAAGAGGACTCCAGTTTTCCAAACAGTATTTTTTAATAAAATTTTTTAAAAAGTATCCACTCAAGGATTCAACATCTTATTTTTCAAGGTCTGTAAGCCACTTCTTTCCACTAGTGATAGTGTGAAACTTCTGAAATCCATTCATGACCAATCAGAATCTTTTCCAATTTCCATTATTGAGAGATATGTATTGCATAGAAAAGGAATATTCAGAACTCTCTGCTTTTGTGAAGTTGAGTAATCTTCTGAACAGGTATTAAAAAGAACCATCCTTGGACCCAGTGAATATTTGAATTCATTTATAGTATTGTATGCAGCATGTTGGATACTTAAATATTGCCTGCTAACATTACTAAGAACTAAAGAATATAGTAGTAAATTTGGTTGTTTCCATTAACATTATTTTGAGAACTCACACTGTTCAAACCTTACCTACACATGGATCAATACATCTCTTTATCCCCTTTTTCTCAACTAGGAAAGAAAAAAACTTCTCTATTAGCCTGTCCACACTCACACTGGAACTAGGGACTTAGTAAGAGCCATCTTTAAAGTGACAAATTGAAATCAATTTCACAAAAAAACAAGAATAATGTTGGTTAACTCTCCTCTGCCCACTTTATTTAAAACTTGCACCTCCTGTTATGGGGGAAAATATAAATAGGAGAAATTGACAGACAGGCATGGGAACTAGAGTGGACAAAGTGGAAAAAACACTTTCCTCAAATGTGTTTCAGTTAAGGTAATGGAACCACTACTAGTAACAACAATAGGTACAATATTTTCAGGTGTGATTTAAGTTTTTATAAGATATATTTGAAAAACTGCCGTATTCCATAAACTATATTATAAAGCCATGGAATCAACAAGCAGCTGTTTCCAAAACTTCATTAGTTCACATACACATCAAAATCATCTGTTTGGGAATGCTTGAAATAGTTCATAGCATGGTCTTATCACAGATTCAGTATGAATCCAGTCAGACTAAACACTTAGCCAAAGATTTAGCGCAGACCCCCATTTTACAAACACAAGAACTACAAATAATGGATGAGATTTATATCCTGCCTAACAGCATCAGATACTTCAAAGGAAGATATAAGAATCCCAAAATTGGAAACTTATGGGATGAACTGTTCATTGAAGATATTTTAATTCCCGTGATCATTCCGAGCATTTTTTTAGGATAGGGACAACATTTCCTCTGATGCAGGGACTGGTTTTAATGAGCGATTATACATTTTTATTAATAGCTAAGCATTTTGTTCTTAAGTTCCTTCAGAACTACTGGGTGTAGATCATGCTGTGGTATTAACTTGCTGCTACTTTTCCAGTGCTTCCTCTTTCAACATGTCAGTCTCTGACAGTATCTCAACTTTAATACCTAAAAACGATAGGTCTGTGATGAAGCCTGGTGCTAAAGCCGTTTTTCCCCACAATGTCATTCCCTCTTAAGTGCATCTTTTACTCTCTGGTAGTCCATTGACCATAACAATGCTCATAGGATTTGCTTCTAGAAGAAGCGCTCTTGCTTTTCGTATCTCCTTGGATGCTTGTCCTTGTCCTCCTAATCTCCGTTTCTGTTTTACCTGCCTGCCTCGCTGGCTCTTTTCTGTCGGGGCCTGGAGGGTCAGGCTACCTTAGCAAGGCTGCGGCTACGCGGCACAGAGCGAAGGGGTCTCCCCCCGCCGGGCAGACCCGGACAGCCTGGCCGTGCGGCCTCTGGGCGGACTCCTCGCAGCCCTGCCCGGGGCGGGCGCCCTCGTGCGGGGACCGTTGCCGGGTGCCGCCCCCGCTCTCGCC